AATGTTACTAATCTCTATTGATAATTAGCAAATCTCACTGGTAAAGGCACCAAACTCCTTGCAAACCCTAGAGTTTATAAATATATTTTCTTGCAGCAATCTCCATTCACTCCCAGAACTTCATAGTTTGGTTTATTTTTGGTCTATCTGGTGTACAAATTTCATAGCAACTTTTCATCATAGCACTTACTGTTACCTAATCTTCCTGTATTTGCTCTGTATGTAGAGAAGCTCTCTGAAAAAATGTTATTTAACAACTTGACTTTCCAGGGACGAGGCTCATCTTTTGTGCTGATCTAAGTTTGGTCTAGTCTCAAAAGATAAATCTGATGAGGTTAAGATGTGAAGGGGGATGGATGGAGGTGGAAGAGGTCATAGAGGGGATAAATGGTGATGGGAAAAAACTAAATTAAATGAAAATTTAAAAAAAAAATGTATTTGGATAATTTTCTAAGCTTTCTAAGACTCCTACTCAATTATTTAAGATTTATATATAGTCTAAACCAGTGGTTCTCAAACTTTAAAGTGCATCAAAATCATCTAGAAGGCTTGTTAATGGCAGATTGCTGAATTTCTACCTCCACAGTTTCTGGTTCAGTGGGTCTGAAGTGGGTCCTGAGATTTGTATTTCTAACAACTTAAAAAATTAAGGGCAGGAAACATTATTTTACTGAGTTTGATCAATTGTTGGACAAAACCTAATGAAATCAGCTTCTACTACACAATCTGTGTTATCAGTATTTCTTTAATAAGAGATACCAATATGATGTTAACAATTTTAAAATATTTTAGATTTAGTATCTAAATATGATAAAGCAGTAGCTAAGCTAATTCAGTAATTATTTCACATACCAGGTTTGAGAGATTACTCTTTCCAGGTCTGACATCATTCTGTTTACTTTGTTCCTGCCTTGGTTGGTAATTTCTTTCTATACTTGAGGATTTTAAGGAAAGACTGTTTGCTTCTGAGAAAGAATTTTCTGAGTTGATTCTCTGTTCCATTTGCTCCCTTCTTAACTTCTTTAGTTCTCTTTCTTTGCAGTAAGAAGCTAGTGACAACTGGAACTTAGCTCCGAGTGGGCTCTCTCCCGGGTGATGCCTGGATAGGCTGCTTCTGCTGCTAAGACTTCTGGAGGTGTTCTTGAAGATGTCAGTTTCTGTCACCGTGGCCTGCTTTTTGGAATCTGCATTGTTCTTGGCTCGATCTCTATCATTCTTCTCCCTGCTATTTTCACGAGTGTACAGTGACTTCCTTCTCTCTGGAGATCGATGTTTTTTCTTTAGTGTCTTCATCTCTTTAGACAAGTGACATGCAGGAGGAATATAGACAGTCTTTGTAAGTGTCTTTGGACATTTGGTGGTTAGTGACACACAAGGCCGACAGGACTCATGATCTTTAGGGTGCTCTTTAACACCTTTCATTAAAGCCTCTAAAATAGAGCTCTTTTCTGATGACAGCTTTTTGGGTTTAGATATTTTTGGCGAGGATAGTTTCCTTTCAAACTGCTCTGTCCCAGTGATGGATAAACCACTTTCTCCATATCTGATGTTTGATTTTTGTGGAGAATCCAACATATGTCTGTCTAAATAGCCAATTAAAACACACAAATCGCATGTTATTAAAAATATACAAACTATTTTGTATAAATATTTAAAGTATGAATAATACTAATCACACAAAAAATTCCAATTATTTATTCAGATAACAATACACATTTTATGGGGGGTAGGATTAAGACACAATTTAATTGTTAACAGCCTTACTTTCATAAGCCTTCCTATTGCTACATCATGTAAGCTCCTTATGGCTCTATGAAATAAGTTACTGTATTAGAGAGTCAAAACAGTATGCATTATGAAAATTGACTAGAAGTTTTAAAACACAGAAGCAAAAAGTTTATTCATGATGCTTAGAATTGTTTATCTTTGTAAAAAACTGCATTTTCATTTTCAATTTTTAAAACTGCTTAATCAAATTAATGAGTTTAGAGCAGATTTAAGAACTGAATCCATTTCCCTCTCCAAAAAAATCCCACAAAAATGCATTAGTAGTACACATACCTGGTTTTGAAGTTGGTTTGAAGAAATCTATAATTGACTGCTTCCTGAAAATAAAAGCATAACTAATATGGAATCACATAAGCAAATACTGAAACCTCAATAATTCAGAATAAGTAAAGAACACTAGATTTATAGAATATAGGCTGGATTTCACTATCTAGTTTAATCAAAATCTGACAATGGCAATAATGCTTTGCTAAGCTGATTATAAACAATTGGAAATTAATTGACCACTTCCTGTAGGATAAATTTGTAAGTACAACTGAGGTTTATATAATCTATAGTACTAAAATGAGAAGATTGGAGTGCAGATCCAGAGAACTGGTAGAGTGCTTCCTAGGGCTCAAAAAGCTCACTACTACATAGAGTAAAAGATCTTGAGGGGATCTGATCCTATTCTTTGATTAACTTCAGTAATTTGATACAAAATAATGCTTAATCAGTGTTTGCTAAATGAATAATGGAGATTGTAAAAACTGACTAAAACCTGAAGAGACTCATCACAAGAGTAGATGGTAGAATGGGTTGATTTGGCTGGTCTGAGGATGCAGCTGAAGTGTGCTGACAAAAGACAAAGGATCAAGTATTAACCTTATACTACTCTCTTGTACACTACAGTAAGATGCTAATCTAAGTAACAGCAGAAATTGGAATGAGTTCACAACTACATAGTGTCTCAAAAACCTTAATTTATCTAAGAGTTCTTTTTAAAAAAAATGTATTTTTATTGATTTCAGAGAGGAAGGGAGAGATAGAAACATCAATGATGAGATAGAATCATTGACTGGCTGCCTCCTACACGGCCCCTATTGGGGATTGAGCCTGCAACCCTGGGCATGTGCCCTTGACTGGAATTGAACCCAGGACCCTTCAGTCCGCAGGCCAATACTCCATCCACTGAGCCAAACCAGCCAGGGCTATCTAAGAGTTCTTAAGTTATTTACAAAAATAACACATTACCCGGGGGGAAATAAAACAAAGAGAAAAGTTAACAAGAATAACAAAACCCAAATTGTTTTCATTTTTTTAAAAAAATTTCTGCACCCTACAGTGGACACAGAGTGGAACAGGACCATTTTATCAGAATTCGTATTCTGATTTGTTCATGTCTTTAGAGTTATTTGTCAGCTGCATAAAGAGGGATGTTATATCTAGAACAAAAAAATCAATCTTCTGGCAAATATGGCTAAAATGTAATTATTTTATTGAAAGAGAATAAGCAACAGTCTATGAGTTTCCCTAAACATTTATCCACTAAGAGGTTGGAATGCTCAGAGAAAACGAACAATCCAAGTCCCTTGACGGTTAAGCTTCTTCTTCATCTTATATACTTTACTGATCACATTAAAAGAGCAATGTCCACCTTTAATGGTTTATTGAGAGCCTACAATGTTTGTTTGAGATGCTGGTAGAAAAGTTAAGAAGTTATGAAATGAATGAGTAATGGAGGGAAGAATCTATGCATTTGTTTTCATACAATAAATTAGACATGTCACTACATGAGAGTCAAGAAACAAATGCTAGAGGTTCTGTAAAGGGAAGAAGGATGATACCTTCAGTTATTGGTTGAGAAGAGAGAGATGGGACAGAATTAAGAAGCAGTTAATTCAAAACAAGACAATACTAAATGTTTTTACATTAATTACTAAAAGTAACACTATATCTCTTTCCTAAAATATTAGATCCCTGGCTCTTTTTTGGTTATTATACTAGAGAGAAAAATGGTTTTGTTAAACATGCAAGGTATTTGCAAAATAACTATGAACGTAACTTTCAAGGAATGTTTCCTTAAGTTCACATGCACAGAAATGTCTATTATTTATAACTAGTTAAAAATTTTATAACAGCTCACAAACCCTTATCTGAAACTTTTGGGGCCAAATGTATTTTAGAATTCTGGATTTTAGAAAGGCAGGTAACTTCGATGCAGTATGTAAAGCCCCCAGTAGCAGCAACCACATTAATATTTTTCCAGCAAAACTCATGAATACTTACACTTCATGGGATAAAGGCCATACAGCCTTCCATTAGTTCTAATCAGGTTTGGCTTCCGAGTAAGATGTGGTGCCAAACTCACTGAAAACTTTTGGTTTTCCTAGCTTCCTGACCTTCAGAATTAAGATAAGGGATTGTGGACCTGTTCTACAATAGCAGAAGATACATTTACTGTTAAACTTACGTTACAAGCTCTTAAAATAAAAAAGACAGTACCAAGTGTGTAGAGAATTTAAACATGTTTTATTGTCAGAGGATGTCATTTGAAGAAATTCCCCATCTTTTTACATAGCTCCCACAAAATCTTTACATAAAAAAAAACTGGCCTCTTGGATTGGAGAAAACATCACATTCCAAATGTGCATGTTCTTTTAAGTATGAATTATCGTTTCTACTGAACTCAAAAGTGATCTGTGGGCTTCCCTCATCACACCTTACGTAATTGCTCACCTACAATACAGAAAAAACGGCTTATACTATTAAACCACTAGGATCAGTACAACTGGCAAAGTACAGAAAACCACCTCGATGTGCATTAACCGGTCAGGGCCCCGGGTCCAGCTATCATACAGGACGAAAATCACGTTCTGAGGCGGGATCTCCGTAGCCATCCCGGCTGCGGTCACTAGACCGAGGACAGCGTCCCAACTACAGAAAAGGAAACTCGAACTCCCAGAAGCCGCCGCGCGAAGGCGGGGCGGAGGTTTGCCAGGCCCCAAAACGCTGAGGCCTGAGCTCGCGGGGGATGGCGGGAACTGGAAGAGCGGCCGTCCGCAGTCCTCCCTCATACCCTTGCCCCCGCGACCCGGCCCCTTCTCAAGCCCTCTGCACTGTACCTGTCCCCAGGACTCTCTGTTCTCTTTCCCGCTGCAGCAGGAGCGGTACTACCGGGTCTCAGATGGCAGCGCGGGGGCGACGACCCCGGGGCTGGGGATGAGGGGAAACCTGGCCTAGCGAGCATGCAGCGCCTTGTCATGTCGGCGCCGCTGGCGACGGCGGCATGAGCTGTGGCTGGAGAAGTTGGGTGCGTGGTTGCCGTCTTGCTGCTGGGACTCGGGGAGGCTGTCGGAACAGAGGTGGGCGGCACCCCCTTCTCTCTTCATGGCGGTTCTCTCTCTTCGGAAGTGACTCTTGTGTGAGCGGGAAGGAACCCGAGGACTATTAGGGGGCGGGTCTTACTTGAAGAATCGGGCTCTGATTGGCTGATACGGAGGTCATTCCCATAGTGGCGCAATAGAAAGCCGCAGCCTCTCAGGAGAAGGCGGGGTTTCGGGAAGGGGAGGGGAGAAGGAAAACTGCCCCGCGGTCACGTGCGCGGGGCGGGGGCGGGGCGGGGGCGGGGCGTGCTGCCCAGTCCTGCTCGCGTCACCCTGGGCGGGCGCGCGGGGGCGGAAAGACGCGGGCTGCCGTAGGCGCTGCGGCAGCAGGCGACACCCGGCTGGTCGAGAGAGCGAGGGGCGAGGTTTGCAAAAGCAAAGCCGAGCAGCAGCTGCCCCCCTGTGTCACACAATCGCGTCTAAGAAATCCCCAGCTGTTCATTACATCGTCTGCAACATCTTAGGCCGGAGTGCCCTAATGCTGTCACCACTTCCTCGGTATTCTGCACAGCCAGACCTGAGGACTTGCCCATTCTGTGAGCGTTCTTGTTAAGTGCTGTGGTGGATTATTATTATTTTTTTTTTTTAAAGAAGGAAAAAACCCCATTCAAATAAAGACTGATTTTATTCCACAAAAACATTTTGCTTTTCAGCTGCTGAAAGAAGTTGTCCACGAAGGCTCTGCAGCCAGACTCCTTGGAGATTTGGAAAGGAACGTAAGGTCAGGTTTCAGTTACCCAATGTTAAGCGTGGACAGCATAGATTCGTGAAAGCCCCCAGCCATCTCCAGTCCTTTGTAAATGGCCTGTGCTCTGGAGTCTGCGAGCCAGGGTTTTCCTTACAAACTGCGAGACTGGTCAAAGTAGCTGAGCCTCAGTTTCCACATCTATGGAGTGGGTATTCTGCTTCTCTTGGTAATTGTGCACTATAAAATGGATAAGCAATGCAAACTGCACAGGTGAGAGTCTCTCGTGTAATAAGCACCGGATAAATTAGAGTTCGTTCATTAGACGGACTCTTAGACTTTAATTTACAAAATCTCCCAGAGACAGGCCACATACCGTTATCACTATTAACCAAAACAGCAATCTCAAGGTTGTCTAAGCTTGAATTGGCAGGACTGTTCAATCAGTTGGATGGAATGAAATCTTAAACGACACAAAAGGATTTAGACAGGTCTTTAAAGTTTATTGCTCTGAGATTTAACTGCTTCAGTAGCTAAGGATGCCTGACTGACCTGAAATTCACCTCCTTTCCTTCCCAATTAGCCCTCAAGAGGAAGAATTAATGAGGAATAAAGTGGCAAACGAGGTGACAAAGTGGAGGGTGGAAGACCAGCAGTGAATGTACAGGTCTCGCATTCATCCAAAAAGCACATATACACAGCTGTCTGTGTACTGGGTCGTGGTGATGCAAGAAAGGAAATACTGCCCAGCCAGGTGTGGCTCAGTGACTGAGGGTCGTCGCAGGAACCAAGAGACCACCAGTTCGATTCCCAGTCAGGGCATCTGCTCCAGTTGCGGGCTCTATCTCCAGTCGGGGGTGTGGAGGCGGCAGCCGACTGATGGCTCTCTCTCATCATTGATGTTTCTATCTCTCTCTCCCTCTGCCTTCCTCTCTGAAATCAATAAAAAATTTTTTTTTAAAAAAGGAAGGAAATACTGAAATGAGGGTCATTTCTAATAACTGAGAAGTTACTATATCTTGCATTGTTCCTTATATAAAAAAAGAACATAATAGATGCTCAAAAGGTGTTGAATGAATAATGGCATACGTCGTTTATTAAGGGTTTCTACATGTATTATTTCCCACCTCTTGTGTTAGTGCTTTCTGTTGGATGTTTCTACACTAGTAAATCCCTGCTTCTAGAGCAGCACATCTATAAAACATTTAATCTGATTCATTTCATTGCATGGTCAGTCCATAAAAAAATAGAGTAATGCATAAAAACACGTTCTGCATGATCAAGTAGTTGCTTTTCTTGGATTATAATATTTGAATCATCCAGCTTGCAAGGTATCACTTTAAAGTCTATACTCATGCTACCAAACAATAGTTTTCACATTTTCTTAATCTGAGCAACAGATTATGGAGTTAAGTGAGGCAAGAAATCCCTTGATCAATAAATGGAATGGAATCATAATGAAAACACAATTTAAAAAATCTCTTCTTAACAGGGAAGCAGTTACCTAAATCCGCAATAGGCATCAAGGATCTTCTTTGTTTAAACTGTGTTTGAAAATGATACAAATTTGGGTTGCAGAGTGAAATATGCTCAACATACTAACCAGAACTGCTAGGAATCTCTAAGGCTCTTATTTTCCCCCAAATAGTGTTGGACGATCTATTTTGTGCTTATACATCTCCCATTTTGAATATATATATATACTGTGTGTGTGTGTGTGTGTGTGTTGATATAAGGGCTTTTCACACATTCATTTGTAGAGGGCCAGTAATAGATGGCCAGGAAGCTGTACACTAGGGGAAAGAACTTAAAGAACTCAGGTATTGGCACTTAAGGGGAGAGAAAACTTCATGTGGGGCTAAGGGGAGAGGATGACAAATAAAGTAGATAAGACTGAATTAGAGACTTAAGACACAACTTCAGGCAGGGTTGGAAACATAATTTGAAGATATTAAGCCAGACGAGATTTGAGGGCATGGGGATAAGGACGCAAAGACCACAGGAATGGAGTGGCTTCAATGCATGAAGCTTCTATGGGGTACAGTTTAGCTCAGTTTAGCACCCCGAGTTATTAAAGACAATAGAAGGAGCTCTGACTTTGGCCTTGATGGGCTGGGATGGGGCCGCAGCAGGAACAATGTTTCATGAACAACAGATCAAGTTTGCTGGGAACGGCAAGCCCAGCGTGGGAGTGTGAGGAGTAGCCATAGAGCTGATGCCAGAGATCCCAAGCAGTCACAAAGAAAGAAAGCAGCTTGGGCAGATTGTCTCACACAATAAGTACCTTATTCAGCGGGGAGTGAGAGAACAAAAGGTTAGTTAAGATTACAAAGAACGTCACTAAAAAGGAGGGAACTCTAAAAGTAACTTCTAATGACATATTTTCATTTTCGCTCCGAGATAGGTGTACTCTGGAATAAACTCTAAGGCTCTTGGAGGGCGGGCGAGGGCAGCTGAGAGACAAAGGTGGGCTTGCCACAGAGCTGCCTGCGGGTGGTCAAGAGAGTGTGCGGAGGAGGGGGTAGAGGTCACCTGGGAAGGGGGATAAGGAATAGGCTCAGAGAAACAGGAAATAATTAACTTGAGAGCTTGACAGAGAAAGGAAGACCATGTGATGATCCGAAGAGGGGAAGGCAGTTCCAGCATCTCGGGATCTACACAAATCATTTTTCAAATAGATGCTGGACTCAAAGCTGCCCAACAGGTGCTTGGAAAAAGCCTTGGCTTCGTCTTAAGGGGCTGCTGGGGAAAAGTCAAATGTAATATAATGTCATGTCAAGTAACTGAACTTCCTGGGAGTAATTAGTAAAACTCTGAAAAACCAGATCTAATGTTTAGGAAAGTGGGTTTCTTCTTATTTCATTATGAAGTGGTGCAAGATAGTGCTTCCCACACTTAAGAACATGAGCAACATGTCTGAGATTTTTGACATGCCTGTTTCCTACACTATAATTTTATGTAATATTTTTCTTTAACTCACTTTTTAAACTTAAATACATTTATTTGAAAAGAAAACTTAAAATCATTTCCATAAGTGGAAAATCAGTATCACTTGGGAAGTGATAACTTTCCAAATGGAAGCCAACTATAAAAGCTAATAACTAAATAACATATAAATAATATCCCATGTTTTTTTCTAGGTTCATCTTGCTTACTAATGATGGTAGGCATATGTATTACTCATACATCTGAAATAAGAAACTCCTTGGGAAGTATTAGTTGTAGGGACTCTAACCTGTAATCGGGTGTTTTTCAGACTTGGTTAGCAACCCATTAGAGCAGTGGTTCTCAACCTTCCTAATGCCACGACCCTTTAATACAGTTCCTCATGTTGTGGTGACCCCCAACCATAAAATTATTTCGTTGCTACTTCATAACTGTAATTTTGCTACTGTTATGAATCGTAATGTAAATATCTGATATGCAGATGTATTTTCATTGTTACAAATTGAACATAATTAAAGCATAGTGATTAATCACAAAAACAATATGTAATTATATATGTGTTTTCCGATGGTCTTAGGCGACCCCTGGGAAAGGGTCGTCCGACCCCCAAAGGGGTTGCGACCCACAGGTTGAGAACCGCTGCCTTAGAGGGTTTTGAAATTGATATAATGAGTCACAGATCACACTGAAACAAACAAAACAAAACAGAGAATGAGCAGAAAATAATCGGTGCGCTGCACATCATATTTGGTTATGTGTTGCTTTGCAAAACGCTTACTTCTTCTGTTGTATATATATTTTATATGGCAGTGAAATAAAAAAGCATTTCTGTGGTTCCAACTGTGGGCAGCGGTGGAAACGTTTGAACGCTGTTGCTATAATCGGTATTCATATTTCATGCTTCTGTGTATTGGTGGCACTGAACAGCAGAAGCTGCTTGGAGGAAACAAGATGGGCTTCCTTTGGTGACTCTGCTGAAGGGAGGGGCAGGGGGTAGTGGCGGCAGGAAACATAACCAGGGCTCTCCTTGTACCCTTTTAAGGCCATGCCCTCCAGGAGTGGGAGGGGTCTTGTAGAAGGAGACAGATGTCTCTCCAAGAAGCTTGCTTTTACCTTTCCTGTGCTGTAAATAGCTTCAAGATGGGGAGAAGTGGCTAAGGTGGCCCTATCAGGTCCTGCTTTGTCCTCCGTAATCTAGGGACTTCAGATGAGAAATGGGAGAGAAGGGGGAATAGTGCAAAAGATGCAGAAAGATCTCTATCCCTTATTCAATCTGCCCCTCACATGAAACCCCACCATCCTGGAATGGAAGGCAATCTATACAGCACTGGTTCTCAACCTTGGCTGCACATTAGAATCACCTGGGAATCTTTTTAAAATCCTGACTTCTGGGCCTCATCCTCCGGAAATTCTGTTTCTTTGTTATGGGGTGGGGCCACCACATTAGTAACAAACAGAATTTCCGGAGGAGGAGGCCCAGAAGTCAGGATTTTAAAAAGATTCCCAGGTGATTCTAATGTGCAGCCAAGGTTGAGAACCACTGCTATAGAGGCTAATAAATTTGATCTCATACCTTCACAATGCTCTTCTCAGAATTCAACACACCTGTCATGACCCATAGGGCCTTTCTTTATCAGGCCCTGACCTGCCTCTTCAGAGTCATTCCTATCAGCACCATCCTTAAACTGTAATCTCCACAACACTAAAATATTGAACTCTTAATGCCATGCATGATAATATGGCCTCCTGAAGATGTTCTTTTAGTTCCCAAAGAGTTTTTTTTTTTTTTAAATATATTTTTATTTTTTCAGAGAGGAAAGAAGAGGGAGAGAGAGATAGAAACATCCATGATGAGAGAGAATCATGGATCGGCTGCCTCCTGCAAGTCCCCCACCGGGGAATCGAGCCCACCACCCAGGCATGTGCCCTTGACCGGAACCGAACCTAGGACCTTTCAGTTCGAAGGTGAAGCTCTATCCACTGAGCCAAACCGGTTAGGGCTCCAAAGAGTTTTTTAAAGGTGATGCTCAACATTTAAAAACCAAGAGATTTCCCAGGAAATTCTAAATTTCTGGCTTCAAGAAGTACAAAGAGGGAGGTCTCACACTTATGCCGAGAGGGGCTAGCTAGGTAATACAAGGGCATGAATCAGGTCCATTTCCCCAACTTTTATAGAGTTGGGATCAGAAAAGTAATTTTTGACATCAGTGAAGACAATGATGGCAAACATTTATTGGTCCTTCCTGGGTCAGTCACTATTCTAAGCACTTTATGATTACTGACCTTTTAAATCTTTACCGCATCCCTACAATTTAGGAAATGGTGGTGTTTGACCAGTCTTTGCACAAGCCTGATGATAAATGGCACCTGGGACTCAGCCTTAGTGAGTAACGAGGTGGAACTGTGGGAGAACCAGAGGGTGTATGTATTCCTCACTAAGTGGGGACCGCCTCTCCAGGTCACAGCTTCCATGTGGGGATGTAGGCGCCATGTTTTCTCCTCTTCTCTCAGCATCAGACCCTGGGAGTGGTGGGGTGAGACATGACGTGGACCTGTGGTAGAGGCCTGCGGCTGCCTATTTCAGCTGCCCTCGATGTCTTGATATATACCCTAACATTTGTCTCTCTAGTTCGGTGAGACCGTGCTCTCTTAAAGCCAATGTCGCAGGGCTTGAGTGGCTCAGTGGTTGAGCCTTGACCTATGATTCAGGAGGCCATGGTTTGATTCCAGGTCAGGGCATCTGCCCGAATTGTGGGCTCAGTCCTCAGTAGGGGGCGTGCAGGAGGCAGCCGATTAATGATTCTCTGTCATCATCGATGTTTCTATCTCTCTCCCTCTCCCTTCCTCTCGGAAATCATAAAAACAAAACAAAACAAATAAGCAAATGTCTCTTGGAGCTGAAAGGGCAGGAGATAGTGAGTACTTTTGGTGCCCAGAGGCGTGTTAAAGGGTGTTGGCAGGATTCTCACTCAGGGATTCTTACTTGAAGAAATTGCCATACTTTACCTATAAT